TAATTGCAGGAATAAGTGCTCGCAAATGCAAGGAAGAGCTCTAAATGGTTGTCCTTGTAATCAATAAAATGCAGCACAGTCCCAGCAAGCACCCTCCTGAGAATGAATACAAATATGAGAATGTGTTTTTTTTTACAGGCCATAGAAAAAGGTCATAGTTTTTGCTGGTAGTTTAAAAAGCAGGCAGACCAAAGAACAGATGAATTCTTGAACGGAGTTGAAAAAGGAGCAGCTATTTAGTTGTTTTTTTTCTGACTTAAGCTGTCATGAGTTTGCTTTGGAAATGGTATAATTTTACATGCTGCAGAAAAACTGTATTAAAGAAGGGAAAACATCTATTTTGGCATAGTGGCGATCACTTCTTTTCTGACTCCGTTTGCTTACACAGCCGTGCCAGCACACATTCTAGCCAATCCTCGTTAAATAAAAAACATGCTGTCATTTGCAGGCAGGTTTCCATATGAACAGAAACAAAGACTTGCAAGCACGATGCTCCACCTTATAAAGAAATCTCTTTCCTTCAACAATTCTGGTAGGTAGTACTTATTTGTATGCTTTTTTCCCCTGTATGTTTTAATTTTGGAAATACTAAGCATATGTATTTTATTCCAGGAAATTGGTTCTTTTAGAAGGGTAAGTGTCCTAAAAAAGTTGGATTTGTGTCCACTTTGAGTCTGCATTGCTAAATAGAACCAAGCCAGTTCTCTTATAGTGGAATTATAAATCCTGTGGCACTTTGGCTTGGTTTTTGAGTGTGTGTTTGCAATATGTTGCTTATGCATCCACTTCTGTTCATGATTTAAAGTTGTAAGATGCTTCACTCATAGAAACCTTTCAGGAAATGTGGACTTGATGGCAGAATGTACTTGTCCTGTTTTACATGGTAAAATTACATTCCAGTCATTACTAGAGGAAGGAAATTGGCTTTTCTTCTTTGAGGAAGGAGGTCTGGATTAGTGAAGCAAGATGACATCCGGGTGAACTACTGAGGTTTAATACAGATTCCCCACTGAATAACTGACAATTTCAACAGCTTTTAAAATTCATTGTGAAAACTGCATTTATAGATTTTTTTTTTTTTTTGTAGTCTGGAGACTGACAGATGACAGTAAGTTAGGGAATTGCAAATTCTTGGTACTCAGCTAAAATGTAAGCCATTTATGTGATTATAGATTGGGACCATTGCATGGCAAGGGACCATGTGGGCTTTTGAGTCCATTCTCCTGAGCCCACAGGAAGCTGTGTAATAAACAGCTACCCAAATGGGTCCACAAGAACATCCACTGGTTTCCCACCCATCCACACCCCAGCAACAAAGCACTATCTTACATTCCATAAGAAACTCAGTATCTTTCGTACAAACCTACAATGGGCACAGGAAAAGAGCAGGAGGAACAAGGGCACTACCAGTCCAGGAATGCAAAGCAATGGCCAGGATTAGCATAGTACGTTATATATATTTGATTTGTGATAAAATTTTCAAAAGCACATAAGTTTCTTAGGAGCTTAAATCCCATTTCAGATGTGACATAGTTACTTAGGAGTCTAAATCCCATTGACTTTCAAATATACTTAAACTCTTCCCTGTCTGAGTCATTTCTAATAATGGGATTTTGGCTGCTTACTGGAGGTGGTCAAAAATGCTCTCCATTGGAAATATGTCATTTCCCCCCAAATTTGTATTTTTCATGGACACACACATATTTTGACAAGATTTCATTTTGGGGAAAAAAGCCAAAACAAAGTGTTTCAGTGAGCTTGAAACATTCCATTTTAGCTAAAGAGAAGCTGAGGATGTGTCTTCACTTAAAATCAACTTTCAGTTTCAAATGTATTGTGTAATACAAATGGTAACATTCTAGCAAATAAAGATGAAATATATCCATTTTAATGAAGCAAAAAAGTCCAGCTGATCCAAACTTACCTTTTTTTTTTAAAGAAAATTTGTTTTGCAGGACGTATTAGCTTTTTGCTTGTTTGTTGTCATCCTAATTCAGAACAAAAATGCATTTAAAATGCAGGGATTTCTTGTGGTATGGAAATTCCAATTATGAGCAGTTCTACTCCTTATTTAAATACTTCTGAAATCTTTACTCCCTAATTATGTTCATTCTTAAAAGTTAGCAGTAAAATATTCCCTTTATCTTTGTAGTGTAGTCATGTGTATTTGAAGGAACAGCTTCCTGTATGTATGTAAAAACAAGAATACCTTTCGAATCAACAAATGAAAAGGACAAACTGTAGAGTCTTGAATGCAGAGGCCTTTCCTTTTTGCTCCATGCTAAGCTTGCCTGAGAAGAGTACTTCAGCAACCCCTGTGATTTACCTTTTCCTTCCTGCAACTGTTAGGAAGAGGTTGCTTGTTTCCACATTGCCATGAAAGTGTTAAAGACAAGATTTAACTGTTAGGTGAACCTTAGAAAAAGTCTACAGAAGTTAACCAGATCTCTGGGAATTAGAACCCTAAAGAAAAAAACTATTGAGCTAAAGTAACAGAGGGTTCCTAAATATCAGTTTTTAAGGGCTTTGCTCAAGATTTATTGTTGTCATCCTTTTTGAACTACCCAGAATAGTGACAAACTTATCCACAAATTAAACATGGAGCAGTAGACCAGCTTGGTTTGTGATTTCATAGCCAGGGGAAATCTATCAAAGGAATGAGGATGCTGCAGTTAGCGAAGGTTGTCCTCTTCCTCCTCTTAGTCAATACTGACATACTAAAATGGCATGGCAGCCACAGACACTGGAGCCTGAACTTTGACAACTGCAAGTTCCAGATATTTGACAGGAGAGTGAAAACTTGTGCAATCTGTGTCAATATTGCAACACAGGGAAATTACCTCCTGATTTGGGGGTATGATTAGCTCATAGCCAGAAGAATGAGAATTGGTTGATTTGGTAATTTAAGTTGTAAGTAACCTTCAGACCCATCAGTGCCTGCTTAGCCCTTTCTTGAAAAATGCTATTTGCCTCATACCCAGAGATACAGTTATTCTTCTTCTATCCCTTCTGCATTCCTTGCTATTTAGCTCTGGGTACTCCTGGTTTTAGAATTAACAGTGTGTTTAACAGGCTCTCTCTACATTTTTCCATTTCAGTTCTTCACTGTATGCAGTGGACAGTGGTACATTCAGGTAGTCAGCTGCAGCTCCTTGATGCCAAACTGCCTAGCCCAAGTGGAAGCTGGAGTAGCGGGCAGTCTTCTCTAACTCAGGCAGGGCACAGAGCTCCATTATGCCGTATGTCTCCTCAGTACCGCCACTCCTGCATACAGTGAGAACAGAGTGGGGAGGCAGATGGCACAGGAGACTGCTTAACTACGTGCCAGCCTTGCCCTGGCAGAGCTTCTCACAACACAGTGGAAATTCTACGGAAGAAATCTTCAGCCAGTTTAAAAGGCCTGGAGAACCCAGCCCAGTACCACCATTGTAACTTTTCTTATGGCTTTTCATGGAGTGTTTTCAAACAGGATTTTTAAAGCTAAGCTAAGCAATAAAGCAAAATGACATAACAGCATTTTTCAAGGCAGTTGCCTTTCATAGCTCTTTTTTTTTGCCACTCCAGCTGAAATACTGATATGATGGCACATAATTGATTGTCATCTGATACTTATCTAAACCAACTATAAATAAAACAGTAGCACATGTTTGTGACATTCCTCACAACACACTGCAGTAGTTAGTTTTTCCTGTTTGGGTCTTAGTTTATTAAATGCATTTTCATGTACATACCTTGTTCATCCAAGTGTGGAGAAAGGCTGTGATATATAATAGCATTATATTTGAGTAGCTTGTCCTCTACCACGAAGGGCATTGAAGTTCAGGGAAATATTCCCTAATTAAAATTATATGCATGCTTAAGTACTTTAGTGAATCAGGGCGCAAGCCCTGGCCTTAGAGGTTTGCTTAGGATTCCAGATTTTATCTGTGTTCTGACACAGACCCTTAAAGACCAGATAATGTGGAGTTGGCAGGATCCCTAGAGCTAGCATAAAACTCACTGACTCAGTACATGCAATTTTAGTAATAATTCTAATTTATTAGTATAAAAACTACACACCATAAAGACATATACTGAGGACGTACTATGAATAACAGTTTCCCCAGATGGTTTTAGTTTCTTCTATTGGTGACAGTTTTGATTTACCATCATGCCTCAGTCTTAAAGAGGATGTCATTCCTGTCCTTGAGAGAGTTCACCTGGCCTTTCTCTATGTGGAATCAAATTGTAGAGGAGAATAGAGTAGAACAAAACTACAGAACATTTGTCAGAGGCAATAAAAGGACAAGGGGTGTGCATGTCTTATTTTCACGGTAGACATACCCCATCTCATTGAAAACCAGAGTAAAAATATGCCCCAAAATATGTCAAAAGCTTAACCATTAGAGGCACAAAGATTTTTGTTGTTTTAAAAACTTCCATATCCTAGCTCTGTCCACAATGACCCTCCACATAATGTGAAACACCTATGTAGCTGGATTTGTTCTTAAACCTGGTTTAGCTTTGTAAAGAAGAAATACTTGATTTAGGTTCCAAAAGGAAGTAAGTAACAATGTATTGTTCTTTAATGGAACAAGAACAGCCTACAAGATGGGCACATGCTATTTGCTTATGACAAAAGTCATCTCTAAAATGCAGATTTTTTGGTCAGTTTACAGTCACAGCTGCCATTGCACTAAGATTCATAGATTCATAGATTCATAGATTAAGGGTCGG